GAATATTCTATGTGTTTGTGGTCCGTTTGCAGAGGGAACCCTCTTGGTTGATACTGAAAGTCTTGTGTGTTTATTAAGACCGAGGTTCTTTTATTGAGGGGAGGTTAGAATGAGTGAATTCTACATGTCTTAAAGGAGGACCATCTCCTTGCCAGTCGAACAAGTTAGTTGTACGCGTCGTGCAGGTGTTGTTGTAACTCAGACTACCGTCGGGATCATCGAGTGTGGTCACGCTAAATCATTAAACATATATTCCATTATATACCATATTAGTGAGCCCCCCTCACTAATAGCACCCCGTGACTACCCTTACTGTATACAACCGCCTGGCCAACCTTCACTTGGTGAGTTCGGCACGTCGTCCCTGTCTCTTGTACTATGAGACAAGACATGAAAGCTAGGTACCCCTTTCTAAATTCAACGTCTACTGTTTGAGCAAGAAAATTAATTTGTACTCAATGGAGACTCGCAGTTTTATTCATGTAAACGACTACAAAGACGTCGGAACCCAGATGTATGTAAACATCTAGATTCGGTTTGGTCAAATTCATTGGTTAGCCAGTTGTCAGACGTGAGGTTGGTGAACTTAGTCAGGAGTAATCTGAGATTCAGTCGAAATGATCCAGTCACAACGAGATCGTCACGTAACACTGAATACACACTGAGCAGTCGAAGTACATGTGTGGAATGAATAGTACATAGAAGACTAGTCGAGCTTGCTAAAGCGGGGAACGAGGTGACGAACGGTAAGTTGCAGTAATCTTAACAACATAGCTTTGGTCCTGTTTTAAATCCGACCGTTTCCACTCCTTGTAAACTAATTTATGTAGTTAGAGGATAATGCCTCCGGTATGCACTCAGGTATCGAATTATGGTTCCGGTGGCGCGTACTCGTGGAGTGTCGCGGAAACCTATGCTACTTGGTGAGGTAGAAATAGGGAGGCAGATCTTGGGACATCACCCATAGTCCCGTGACGGGAATTCACCAAGTCCAGGAAGACAGGTCTGCTAGAAAGAGACAATCTGACACTTAAACGTAGAAGGAAGAGACGGGGGGGATAAGGACACTAAGGGTTGCCAAGATAAAACCCCGGATAAGAGAAAAGAAATATGGAAGAGGGGGAACCTGTTGTAAAACCTTTTGACGCAGATGGTGAAAATACACCTGCTGAGGGTTTATATGGATTGGTGGGGGATTTTGTTTTATTGGTCGAGAGACATACGGGGACCAACTGACGAATTCGGGGGCCGGTGTGGCTCCTGCTCATTGCGCAGCATATACGATTGTCAGTGATAGTCTATCTGCCCAAGCCGGTGTGCTCCGCGGCTGTACCTTTTGCGTTCTTTGCTATTGCCCAGGGTTCCTCCCATCAGACGTTTGATTTGCGAGACCCGCCCCCCCCCCGTTTGCCGAGGCCACAAATGCGGATATGCTAGTAAAGACTATTGCTCTTTCGTTACGGACGAGCGAGTGCGGAGAGGGGGTGGCACAAGGAATCTCTAGTCGACGACCCGACAGCTCTTCTCCCCTCCTTTTCTGCTCCGTGTCAAAAAAAATAAGAATAAATAATAGCATCTCAAACAATAAGTACATAACAAAATTCAGTTATTTATTTTTCGGTTCTGGAGACTGGCCGTGAAAAGATTAAAACCAGGCCTTCGCTAAAATTGAAATTGGCCTTGTACAAGCTGGCCGCTTTTTTTTTAGATTGACTTTGAGACGGAGTGCAGGGGAACAGACGAACCTTCTCCGCATCTCCCACCCACAAAAAGTATGTATCGACCACCTGATTGGCCTGCCTCGTTTGCGTAACGGAGCCCGTCCCCTTTTTCTCGTCGTCGCAAGGTGTCGCCTCTTTATTTGTACTTCCCTTGTACCGTTGGTACCGCAGTGATGGGCTAGACGGCGGGACGGGATAGACGTCGACGCGTACACGCTCTACCAGGCGGTATAAACCTGTTGATGTAGACGTTAGGTTCATCCTGTGATCGTCACACAGGTCACAGGATGAACCCAAGTTCAGACAAATGCCACTGAAATTAAAACTTTAAGTCAAGGACTGCCTGCAGGGTTTTTTCGGGCTATTAATATCTTATTGTTTATTCTTTTTGTCTCCTATTAACACACAATAACACTATTTATTGTCATACAATAATCTTTTCTTATGTTGTTTATTTGTTTTTTTTTATGTCTAAAGTCATAAGGACTCACGCTCGGGGTAAATAAAAAAGTGCCCGTTTTTTGTCAGTCGTAAGTCACGCCGACCACCTTTCTATTAAACCACCCCAGTACCTTTACCACTTTTGTATCGGATCCCGTAAATTTTAGTCCTCTGATTTATGCTTGACACACACACACACACACACAGCACACACACACACACACAACACACACACAACCAACACACACACACACACACACACCACACACACACCACACACCACACACCACACACACCACCACACACACACCACACACAGACACACACGGCGTAAAGAGGGCTAAAGACTGTTTTAGTCTTAAATGAGTATGCTGGCAAAGGTGAGCCTTAAATTATGTTCATGTGGTAACAAACCAAGGTACCATCGCGCAGAGAAATCGTCGCGCGCGTTGAGTTTCAGGACTCCCCACTCCTTCTACTTGTTGACTTGTTCTTAGCTGTTGAGCTCAGGGAGACTACGTGAGAAGGACTTTTTATGTCCAGGGGTCGGTGTGTATACGAGGTACCACGGGTGTTCGGAACGGCGAATGTGTTGATGTTATTCGTACGTTTAAATTAGATGTCGAGGCCGCTAGGTGATTCGTGGCTCAGATGTTGACGTCTGCGTCGGTAGGGGATGACATCGTCAGTGAAACCTATTCTCGGTGTTTGTCTGTTTGTCGGTCCCGCGACTTTCCCGCGGGAAACTCGTAGTCTAGTACTGCTGCGACTAACCGCTTTAATACACAGCCTGGCGTATCAAATGTCTAATCGTTGTCAGTCAGAACAACCAAGTCGACGAGACCGACTCCCGAGAAAAGATTTGCGGCCTGTCTCTCCCATTACTATGTGCGTCCGTCCTTTGACACTGAATAGTCATTGAAATCTGTGAGCATTTTTTTAAAATTTGTTCTAACTAACTCTAATATGTAAAATGACTATGGTTGATATATTATAAATGAACAAGAAATTGTTATTTTTTATAGTATAAAAAACCTTTTAATAAAATAATACTTAAAATTAAAACTTACTGTTAGTTTGTACACCCTTCTCCCCCCGCCGCGGGGATCGCGGGGATACCTGGCCGGCGGTGACGTCTGTATATCTAATTTATTTTTGTTATTAGCAACCGAACTATTACTCGTTCTTAAAAAAAATACCTGCTTGGTGTGTCGAAGGCCGAGAAGGTTCTGGTCTGGCCTGTTTTTCTGCACCACGTCCGTGCTTTTGTATGGACGGATATCTTTATGTAGCGAAATTGTAAGCAGACACACTACGTGCTTTTTTCCCCTTTTAACACAACCAGGTTGTGCTTAGTTATCTAATTTATTATTAATTATATTTTATTATGTAAGTAAATATTTCGAAAAGGACCACGAGTTTCGCTATGTTCGTTCATTTTGTTTTATTGTTTTTTTCATCTTCTTCACGATTCGATCCTCCTGTTATCCCGTTCCCCAATCAACTAATGCTCAACTTCCGTTTCACTTTTCCACTCAAAACTCCCCTAACAAACCTTACCTACACGTCCCGGCCTGACGCCTGTTATCTCAGTCCGGGCCGTCTTAATATGTTTTTGTTGTTCGTGGTTGTGTTTTTGTTGATGGTCAAAAGAAAACACAGGTTGGTAAAAGGACCTAAATAAGACAGTTATAAATGTCGCGAAGACGGTACCACTATCGGGATTTGAAATTTAGATGGGATGGGTGTTTATTTGTATTACCTGTGACCCAAATTGGATAAATTTTTTTTACACGTTAGTAAATCCTGGATAGGTACACTTGTATAAAATTCATGCTCCATTCTTGGAGTTAGGAGATCCCCCCAGGCCCCCTACGAGGGCCATTCAAAATAAGAAAAAAATTTTACAACCTGAATTACGGTTAGTTAGACCACGTGAAACTCCCCTTTTATTTCTCTGATCTAGGATACCTTTGTGGGTATACTTTGTCGTTGGAAATAGTAAGTTTATTAGTATATTAGTCTTCTACCGTCTTATTTTCATATCGACATGCATGTGTATCCAAGATACAGTTTATGGTTGAGCTTCTTCATTAAAGGTGGGGTAGGTAATTCACTTCAGAAACACTTGTTATATTCCATGGAATGCTCTTAACATCCCCCCCCTCACCTGTGTCTTGTTGGGTTAATTATTGTGGGTATTTAGGCTCTGTGTTTCCTGTTTTGTTTGGTGTGTGAGATCCTTGTGGCTGGTGACTGTGCT